TCTTCAGCGTGTTTATTAGCCACTGGGGCCTATTTATGGCTTTGGTTTTCGAGATGGGGCAGAAACTGGTAATTAACCCGTGTAATACGGCCTTAACCAGCGACAAATCCCCGTGGAGACACCAGGTGAATGCCTCCTTCCAGTCTAACTTGCGCACTTCGGTTCTCATTTGATTAAAGTTTCCGCGCCATATCTTGTGTCTAACGGTCGCGCTACGAACAGGTACAGAGAAGAATGAATACTCCCACCGTAGTACTACATGGTCGCTTTTGCCCAGAGGAGGTAAACAATTTACGACGTCTACACTGTCAGTACAAGTAAGTGAGTATATCAGTCTGTCAGCATTATACATCAAGGGGTATTATAGGTCTGGGTACAACGGAAAGCGCGTATCTAGCTTGCTTCTCTCTAGAGCTGTGAGAGTTGGGTACTAACCGCTGCCGCTGCGGAAAATCCTTGTCAAGTATAGGCTTTGACCAGGTTCGATGGCTTTCCTCATAGAAGAGGTGACGCTTCGTTCAACGAAGAGCGTGTTGTCGAATGCGTACGTCGTAAATTACTAATTTTTCTTTTTCTTTTCACTTCCTACAATACAACGCGTGCTGCGAGCATCGGCGACTGTGTTATACTGCAACACGGTGCACTTCATTTATGCTTCATTTTGAAGCATAGGTCAACATATTTATAGACTCTGCGGTATTGCCTAATCTATTCTACATACTAGGCAGGTTTATTTCTCAAAAATACAGGAATTCAAAAATCCTTGATTTCAAATTAAGTTAATTGGTGAGACATAGCTTGCCTCGGCTAACTCCCTCTCAGCAAGATGCATCGCCTGCATGGGTATCGCTATTGCAGGAAAGAACTTCGGTGCTGCAGATGGTTCCGCCACAGTCGCCGCCACCGCTGTTATTTTGGGAGTTGTTGGCCAGGAGGATAGCCCTAGCGTCATCTGTAACAACGAACGGTAAAATAGACCACATGGTGATTATATGCAAAGATGTGCAAAACAGTTTATTCCGGAACAGTTGGAAACAGAGCATGGCGTAGACCAAACAGAGGGAAGAACTTGAACATTCATTGGTGTCATATTGTATTTAGTCGGTTTTCCAAAGCCATTGAGGGCTAACGGCCCGAGAGAGGATATCTGTGGGGGCAATTTCTTTCTCAACATCATCCGCAAGCAGTTGGGGATAGTTCTGAAAGGTAAATAGTTAAACTGCTTTCGCCATAACATATGTATCTTCCCTGTAGCAGAGGAACAATTTCGATTTTAATGTGGGAACAGTGGCAGCTTCGACTTCCTTCACTATAAATTTCGCCGAATAGCCAGATATTGCTGACTCTATCGTGATGTAGCATTCCTTGGCAAACGAAGAATTTGTTTTGCAGGCAAAGTTCGAGGACTTTAAGGAGGAGGCTAAAACTGTATTATGGGCCTGCAGGGGGTCCGAAGTACAGGTCTTCTTTAGACGTGAATGGATACATACCATTTCGTCGCC